AAATTTGTAATTTTCGGTCAAATCCAAAGTCAATAGGTTTGACTGGCAATTTCGAGGTCTTTGGGTTCGAATTTTGAAAAAAGGACTACGAAATCAGATTTGGAACGTCGAAAAATGTCAGGATAGGTATACTCGGTCAAAGTCAAAGGTCGTTTAATGCCCGGTCAAAGCCAGTCAAAGTTTTGGTCAACAGTGGTCAACACCGGTCAACAGTCAACGATCAACGGGTCGAGTTGGGTCAACGGGTCGGGTCGGGTTGTAACCGATCAAATTGGTAAAAAACCGGTCAAACCGATCATTTGGATCATCCCCACGCGCAGTGGCGGCGCGTGGGGGCGCGTTGAACTTCTTCTGGCAGCCTATAAATCACGAAAAAATTTCTAAAAATCATTTTAAGCGATTTTGAGGCACTTACAAAGCTCGGTTTACAATTTTGAACGGTGGAGTGCTCGATTTCAACAAACCGAAAACTTTGACTGCTTCACCTCCTCACGCGCCGCCGTCTACGGAGACCAAGGATGACACCGGCGAACTCGGAACGGAACAAGGAACACGATGGTGCGGGAGGTGTCGTAAACGGATGATCGGATCATCGTGAATCGACGAAAAACCAATTGAAATTGAGTTATTACCGATGATGCTTTTGACTGAAATTAACGACGAACGACGATGATTCACGATTAAAGGTTTGAGGGATTTCGTTCTTCGGTCGACAACAAACACGATGGTGGTTTCGGTTCGTCGATCAGAGGTCGGACGGTGAGTAGATCGGAGTTGAAAGTTGGGTCAACGGGAGAGAAAAACTGGGAAAAATAAATTCTGCATCACGGGGAGGGGGTTATAAATTCTCTCATAAATAAAAATGGTTAAACCATGAGTTTAGTCACTGAACTTCCTGCACTTCTTAAAATGGTCTGCCAACTTTGAAATTTTATAATTTAATCCACCGTTTCCTTAAAAAATTCTAATTAAATTCACCACTTTTATAATTTCTTAAATTTAGCCCCTATATTGGGGTGTTACATTATGTTTTTTAAAATTAGTGGAAAAAGTGAACGAAATAAAATTATAAGTGATTAATCATGTAGTTAACCCTAAAAAAGAAATATTAGAAAATATTGTTATATTTCTTATTAAGATATCTTTAAATAATAACATGAGATTTAGGAATTACCATTAAGGATGAGTTTACAATTACTGACATTCATTGAAATGTACCACTAATGACATATATTGAAATGCACCACTAATATAAAATAGGGTAAAATTCATTAATAGTCACAAAATTTTCAATTTAATTTTATTTATCATTGAAATTTTAAATGTTACAAAATAGACATTAAACTTTAAACTTTGTTAAAAAATAAATAACAATAGTTAAATGTTATTAAGGGGTGAATAACATACTAAATTAATGAAAAATGTCTTATTTAGCCCCTCAATTATAACTTAAATTTTATTTTACTATTTTCAACATTGTTAAGTAGTAATTCGAAAAAAAATTATAATTTTTTAAATATATGAAAATAAATTATTTTTAAAATTAAAAAATATTTTCAAAAAATTTCAGTTATCAAACAATGAAATTAATTTTTTATTAATCAAAATTTATTTTATAACTAATTATTTATTTCATCGTTGTTGTATTTTTAAAATAAAAATTTATATTTTTTGAAGTCCAAAAATTTATATTATCAAATAATTAAATTATTTTTATTAATGATGTGATTTAAACATTTAACTTTTATTTAACAAATTTTAAAGTAATATAAAAATCACGCATCCATAATTTTATAATATCGTATCAAATAATTTTTAATTTACTTGGTCCAAATATAATATTTATAATATAAAATTAAAAGATGATATTTATTTTATCTATATCTATTTTATCTTCAATTAACGAACTTAATAAGAATTATTTCAATTAAAATTAAGAGTAAAATTAAATTTTAGTTATAATTGAAGGGTCAAATAAGATATTTCTTAATGGTTTTGTACTCATTTTGTAACAAAATTCATTATGTAACTTTTGAAAATTAAATGTTCAAAAGGATAATTTTGACATAGTTTAATGACCATTTGTAAATTTTACCTATAAAATTAGTGGTTATTGAACTAAGTTTTTGATTATGATATAACATGATTATTTTAATATTTTAAGTTGTTAAAATTTTCGTTTTACAACTTTAAAAATGATTTGTCATATTTTGTGAAAAATAAAGTCTCCCCCTTAGAAAAGAAATTTTTGGCTAACAATTTTACAAATTTTACACTTATACATATCACCCTTTTGTTATAAGAAAATCAAATTAAGCTTTAAAAGAGAAAATATATTAGTATAATAGGGAACTCAAATATTCAACAAAAATAAACAAACTCATAAGCATAAGATTAACAAAAAAAGATTTAACGAAAAGAAAAGATCAACTTATGGTTAACAAATTCGTAAGATCAACATCAATATTTCAAATCCATAAATTACCAATATATGAAAGTATCAAACATAAAATTCCAAAATAAGTCATAAAATGCATAAGTCCAAATGAAAATGCAATTCCTAAAAATATCATATTCTTCCGGAGGCAGTAGCGAAATAGAGGAAGTCATCAAGTGATGACGTATCAAGCGAACATCATTCTCAAGCATGTCTAAGCAACGATCCATGGTAGACTCAAACGAGTTCAAGCGATGATCAATGATAAACATATGAGCATTTATGTTCATGATGTTTTGAACCATGTAATCACACATGGTCTTCATTAATATCTCCTCTTGAGGTAGAGGCACTAGTAGTTCTTTCATTTCATTCTCTTCCGCCTCGATATCATCCAAGTTTTATCTTCTAAAAGGGCGCCACTCACCGAAAATGTCATCAGAATCCCAATTGGCTTTGTGGGCTGATTTGAGATCAATGACACTACAAGGGGAATAGGAGGGTCAAGGGCACTAGACACTCTAAGTTTATTCCTAAAAATGTAGCTAAGGATACAAGCATAGGGAAGTGTCTTGGTGTAATTGACCCCTTTATGAACAACATCAACAAGGTCTAAGAAAATGATATTTGCAAAATTTGGACGAATGTTGTTCTTAATATGATAAAACCATCAATAGTCGCAAGAGCACATATGGGTATCCTGACCACCAGAAGGACGAAAGAACCAAGTCATAAGGAGCAATAATGAACGGTCGGGAAAATTAAAAGCGGTAGGGGAATGCATTCTAGAATTTTTCTACCATTAATGACATTTTTTTTTATAAAAGTGTTTAATTTTTGTAATAGTTTTAAATAGTTTTAATAATTAATAATTCATCATTTTATAATTTATGATATTTTTTATTTTTCTTTAAATCTTTAATAGTGTTTTAATATTTTATTATTGTTTTTAGATATTGTAATAATTTTAATTTTTTAAGATACTATTTTTATTTTTCAAAAAATTTTAAATTTAAAAATATAACAGTAGATACCTAAAAGTATAACAGAGAAAACGTTATTCACATATTGTTGCAAAAAATTCTTTAAGCATCAAATAGTATTTTGAGATATAATTTAGGCATTTAAAAGTATATTAAACCTATATATTTTACAAATAAAAATCTCTTAATATAAAATTTTGTATTTATGTTCAGAAGAGTTATTATGTTTATTATTAATAATAGAGATTTAAATTATAAGTGCATTGAGTAAATGTGAATATAACATATATTATTGTAATAATTACAGATATTATGATCATGTAATTAGATTCCAAACGATGATAATATCATTATATAAAGATCGTCATTATAGTAACGAACAACTATTTAAATTCCTGATTAATAGTATTGCACTGTTTGGTTTTGGGCCTGCTGTTATTGGAATAGGCTTTAGTAGCTGGTAGGTTGTGTTTCTCTCTTATGAATTCCACCCTTGTGCAATGAAGATAACAAAGACTTTTTTGAAGAGCAGGAAGAAGATTTTGTGTTGGATAATGCATATTACTCCTGAGATGAGAGATGCTGGGTTCTTAGATGAGCTAAACCTGTGCACCAAAATGTTTGGTAAGAAAGTTGAATCCATACTTTGTAAATGAATTCAAAAGAGAAAATTTACTGATATATTTATGACTAATCATTTTCTTTCTGTCCATTTGTCAGTTTCTGCATTTATCTGTCTTGGATTTTCTTTACTGACAAACACTCTCGACCATGGATTTTTATCATTTGATAGAAAAGGAAGAGAAAAATGGAATAGAAGGGTAAGGCTGGATCCACCTTCTGAATTCAAACAAAAGGAATAGGAGCAGTGAAGTACGGAATTCAAAGGACGCATCATATCATTTTGGCAAAGCTTAAACACTTGATCGCCACCACTGCCAGCCTATCCGATGTTAGGGTCCACCTAGGGTGAGTGATGATGACTCATGGTGGTGGCCGGTGAGAGAGTGATGGCTCATGGAGCCGGCCTGGCCGGTGAGTGATGACTCATTCCTGACTCACTTTTATATCATTTTTTTTCTGGTTAAATTGTATTTATTAGGAGGAGAAATTCATTAGGATCAAGATTGACAAATTTCTTTAGTTAATGTGAGAAAAAAAAGATGATTGGCATGAGGTGAAAGAATAATTATTTTAGGTAGTGTATATATGAGGAAAGATATTTAGATATATTTTTGAAAAATATTGGAAAGATATGATGTCTTCTAGGTTGACTATCTTTTTCTGTTTCACCCACGGTTTATACCATCTTACTTGAGGAAATGACTTTTTCAACGCCTCATCCATTTTTCTTTTTCACCACATTATTCCATCAAAATTGTAAGAAAACATATAAAATCATATCATTATCCGAGAGATACAAACCCTATAATGGAATCCAGTAAAAAGAAATTCCAGGAGATAAAAACGGATGGAAAAGAACAAAAACGCACTGCAGAAGGCGACATCAAACATATGTCACCATCGATACCAAATGATCCCACCATTTACTCTCTCCTTGTTTCATACCACCAAGAGTGAATGACTTCCATTTCTCTTATCTAATACCCTTTCCTCCCCACACTACTTTTCCATGGCTGCCTTTGTGTTTGCACTGCTCATTTTGTCCATCACAGGCGCCTCAAGTCAGCCCCTTTTCCCCCAGAAAGTTAAAAGAAAAAAAAACCCAGTTTTGTTCAATAGTTTAGTAAAAATGACTAATTTTCTCTGCATTTTGATGGGGACAGGTGCAACATGGTGTATATGCAAAGATGGAGTGGGGGATGCAGTGTTGCAGAAGACACTGGACTATGCATGTGGAGCTGGAGCTGATTGTAACCCCATCCATTCCAATGGCCCCTGTTTCAACCCCAACACTGTTAGGGCTCACTGCAATTATGCCGTCAACAGTTATTTCCAAAGGAAAGGCCAGGCCCTAGGCTCTTGTGATTTTGCTGGCACCGCGATTGTTTCTCCTTCTGACCCTAGTAATGTCTCTTATCTCATTGATGATTTCATCACTCAAGTTTAATAAAAGAAATCTTTGCTTAAATGTTAAACAAATATATAAAGATAACCTGGGTTATGTTGTTGTTTGTTTTTGTTACAGGCTTTGCGGGGTGTGCTTTCCCATCTAGTGTCAGGTACTTAATTTTCACATTAATCTATTTGTTTACTAACACAGATTTATAATTAAAAAAATACAGGTTTAAATTCAGGCTATTTTATCAAAATATCATATGTACATGTAATAATTATTTGTCAGACGTTCTTTTTCCTAATATTATTGATTTAACACATTTTTTAATAAGGCACGGATGATGATCCATGTCTTCGTAGGATTTTGTTCGAATTGACGTCACGTAAAGGAATGCGCGAATAATGATCCGCGCCTTAGTTGAACATTTGACATATACAAAAGGCGCGGATCATGAAGCGCGCCTTCCATAGGTCCTCATTATCCCTCAAAACATTTAAAAATAATATGTTTTAAAAAATAAAACTATAAAGACTAACATTGTAATTTAATACATATTAGTTTCATGAGTTGAAAAGTTTAATGGGGTTAACTTATATAGGCATATTATAGTGTTTAGGTTATGTTTATTGATAATCTGGTATAAAAGTTAAAAGGTATATTCTTTAACTATTTTATGTCTATATCTAATGAATCTACTTATATATTATTGTTAAATTACATTAGGTTAATATTTGTTATTAAGGTTTATATTAATTAAGATTAAATATTTTTTATATGTTAATATATAAAACTAGAACAAGTATAATTTTATTTTTTACTCGATTAAAAGTAGGTTTTGTATATATATTTTATATTAGTACCATTAAGTTTCATCATGAGATATGGACCATTGTCTTCGATTAATGTTCCCCATATGATTAGTTGCATATACTGAATTTGGCAAATAGTAATTACCATTAGTGTTTTATCTATAAGTTAAGTGATATGATCCCAATCACAAGATTACGTCAAAACAACATCAATCCACTCTATCAAAATTTGTCACCCTTATCTCAGCTAAAGATTTACAGAGCTAGAACAAATTAGCCAACAAAGTAATTAAGAAAAACTACATAACGGAACCTTTTGTTTTTTACAAAATATTTCTAGCTTCCAACTGAAAGAATCCAACTCCAAAATCTCCTTCTGTAGCACTTACACCAGAATGATAGAAAATTTTCTTCACCTCAATAGTAAAAACAATATAACGGAACCTTTTGTTTTTTACAAAATATTTCGGCACTTGCCTGTTACAGGACAGAGAGTTAAGACAACGTTAATTCTTTGAGGGGAAAATGGAGATCATATCGGCATGGCAAACTAAAAAAACATAAAGATTGTAACTAATAATAATTTACCAAATTATTATTACATTTATATGTATATAATTGAAATAAAAATGTAATGAAAACGATCGAAGGTAACTCATGAAAATATAACTTAAACACATTGTTAAGAAATACACATTTTAACTTTTATCTCACATTGTCAAGAAATATAACCTAAACACTCCAATATGCATATATAAGCTAACCACGTTAAGCTCTTCAACTCATGGAACTAATATGTATTAAATTACAATGTTAGTCTCTATAGTTTTATTTTTTTAACTTTTTTAAAGCATTTTTTTAAAATGCTTTGACAGATTAATTGGACTTGTGGAAGGCGCGCTTCATAATCCGTGCCTTTCGTAGTTAGAGGTTTAGTTAAGGCGCGAATGACGATCCGTGTCTTCCCTTACGTGGCGTAAACTCGGACATAACTCCACAAAGGCGTCAGAAAGGGTGTTAGATCGATAATATTAAGAGAAAGGATGTCTGACAGGTAATTATTACCTGTGCCATTGATATTTCAGTAAAATCGTCTTAAGTTCATGTTTCTATGGCTGTATCTTTAAAAAAATGTTTCTATGGCTGTAAACTATTCGGGTGAAGTTTGAGTATTGTGGCTCGACTCCATTTAAAAAATGTAAAACTGAGTTCGTTTAGATTTGAAAATTAACGAGTTTAAATTGTTGTGTTTGACTCGAATTCAAAATAAAAATTTAAAATTCGACTCGACTCAAAAGTTCGTGAGCTTAAAATTTTAAAGTTTGATTTTAAATAAAAAAATTGGAGCTCAACTCGAGCTCGAAACAAATTAAATTCAAAATATTTTTAGAATTAGTTTGATTGAAACTCAAAAACTCGACTTTGAACATGAACTTTAAATATATGAAAATCTTATATTGTAATTTTAAAAAAATTACGTATAAATGTCAATATTATTAATAATTTAGTTTAAAATTTTAAAATATTGATTTTTCGAGTTGTTTGCGAGTTTTTTGAGTATAGTATTAAGTAATTCACTTCAGTTCGTTAAGAATTCATATCGAGTTCGAGCTCGATTCCATTTGATTCGAGATTTGACCAAACTTTGAACGAGTTAATGTCGAATAACTCACAATTTGTCTCAACTCATTTACAACTTTATATGTTTCATGGTTGATGGGTTTAGCGTTAAAGAATTCATTAGCTTGCTCGATTATGTAAAATCACAGATTAATCTCAAAAGATTTGTAGCAGAGGACATGAGCTATCTGATTCTTTTCTTAACTCTACATGCACTTAGCAAAATCATCTGGATTTAGAGTTTCTTTCATCAATGGTCCACAGAAATGTTGGAGAAGATGACTTGAAATGGAGAAGAAACTGGTGTTTTTCTCACTAAATAAACATATTTAATATATCACTATTAAATAATAATAATAAGACGTGCATTGTTAATTATTGTATGATTCTTTGATTTTGGACAATATTTGTAAACTTTTATCTTTTTTTTTTTGGGTATGAATCAGTGCCGCAGGCACCACCACTACTCCAGCAACAACAACGACGCCCTCGACCATGATCCCGGGTTAAGTTTAATTTTAAAAATGTGTTGAATAAGTTACATTGTAATTGGATTCAAATGTAATCATTTATAATTATATGACATAATACAACAAAATACCTTTAATGTTTGTCAATAGTGTCACTTTAGCCCATATCATTTTCTTTGGATCATATTTATCCGCAATATTTTATTTTAGTTTAAATTTGATAGAAATCGTTAGTCAACTAACGATCAACGCATGAAAATGTAATGTCAACTTGACATAACATCATTTGTTGATGTAAGAGTGCCACATATGCAAATGTTATGTCTGTAAAAAAATTAAAATTATTTTTTCTTAAATTAATTTTATATATTTTATTTAATAATTATTAACTAATAAATTAATGATACATGTCATTGTCTCGGTTAAATTTGAAATTTTAAAATCTGCATTTGTTGGGAATTAAACCCAGGTCAGTGGGTAAAAAGCCTCAACCAAGTTTAAATCTCGATCATCTTTTGCAAGAAGTAATATTTATTATAAACATCGATGGGTATCGAAGGTCAATGCCCATCCCTTGTTTGCAGACCATCTCGTCTCTTCCATTTCCTCTTGCTCTGCATATCACTCTGAAACCTTCAATAGTTCAATGTCACTCTCTCCAGATCTAGTCCTTTGAAAAAAAAAAATAAGCCAAAACCCGTTTCTCTTGACTCGATGAAGCATTGAAGATTCAAAAGAAAAAAATAAATGAAACATGGGTGGCTTAAGAGAGTCGGGCGTTTTTGTGAAAGAGTTAGCAAGTTAGAACGAATGGAGGGATTTTCTCAAGTAAAATTTCGGTAATGGTCAGAATCATCGACGCCTCTGGTGTTAAACATGGTTTTCGATCATTTCGTGTTTACCGCGATTGCGGCCATAACGGATACTATTAGACGCTATTGCCGGTAATTCGGATGGTGACGCTATTGCTATTTCGCAGACGCTATCACGATTTTGGACTGCAATTTAAAACCCTAATGTTGAAATCTCAATTACTAGATTCCTCGTCCACCGGAATCTTTTCTTAAATACTCACGTAATCCTTCCTCCTATAGCTGCTGCTGAGAGCTTTGAGATTCGACTCCAAATTGGTATTGCTGCCATTCTTTCAAGCAAAGCTTCAGTAATGGTCAGGAAAGATAGGGATTTTACTTCCATTCCATACTATCATGAAAATACCATTGAAATGTGATTGGTTGATTAAAGAAACGTGGGTCCAATATTAATAGTTGGAGAACTGTTTTTCATACTTTGTAGATTTCACAGCTTTGAGATTTGATTGAGGAAATGGAGGAGACGATATGGTGAGGAAATGATCACGTGCGGTAGTCTTAATATACGGTTAAGAAAAATGTATTATCAGTTTTGTTATTATTTAAATAATAAAATCGGTAAAAAATTACCAAAAATATTATTTTTTCTACCGGTTTTGTTATTATTGGGCGCTTTACTTGTTTTGTTAACAAAACCGAAATATGTGCAAGTATACACAATCGAACAAGTAATACAATGATGAGTGAGTATCGTATCCACATGGATTGGAGGAAATTTATAAGTTCAGCCAAAGCAATTTACTATTTCACCTAAGTATAGTTAGTAATAGTATGTACAAATGAGAATGTTGTGGCAAAATGAAATGAATGTTGGTGAGAATGGAATAATAGTGTGACGTGGAAGCAAATGGAGATGTCGTGGCAAAATGGATGGAAATATCGTGACAAATTAAATTGTGTTTAGTGCAATCAAATGAAAATGTAAAGGCAAGACAAAATGTAAATACTGGACTTGAATAAAATGACTTAACAATCCTCACACAACAAGCTACTATGGGAATCAGTGATATGAGTCACTTAGGAAATTTAAGTCTACTTCTCAGGATAGTCTTACTTTTATGCCTTATTTGCCCGACAGAGTTTACTAATGGTGCCCTATGCTATCTCTAGTCAAGGGACTCGACAGATTCAAGATGCCATAACAAACCTATTGACGTTAGCAAGTGCAGGGATCCTATATGTCCAGATAACAGTATATGTCACGACAATACCTTTTAGCGGCAACACTAACATCTACCCTCTCGATCGAGCACTACTCCTTTTAGTCGGTTGAAATCCTAGCCTTATGTCTAAGGTTGGATTAGGCCTAGTTACTACCTAAAACCCCTTGCTTATGTGGATTCTTCCTAGTTTCTCTCGAACACTAAGGACATGCTACTTAGTCATTCTCTCAAACACTAAGCAATCTCCTAAGGAATGACTACTCTCATAGCTCCTACAACCTTGAGGCATTAAACATCATAAGAAAAACAAATATCAGTATACAAAACAACCATCCATTAAAAAACTTAAATATTCATAAGGAACTCCCACCAAATAAGACTAGTTCATGGTGGGGTTCGAATATTCCAAGAAACAAGGCATGAAATTAATTCGTTCTATACAACCCAAATGAGATAAATGAAAGCAAACAACAAAGGGATGGAGGAAAAACCTTTGACACACGCTGTTGGAGCTCTCCTCGACCACCACGAACCACCCTAGCTCGCTAGCTCCTCTCGGGCGCCTAGCTCGCCACTCCCTCTAACTTGCTAATGGATGAATGCCACGAAAAAATGATTAAAGGAAAAGGGAGGAACCTTTTTCTTTCAGCCGCCTCTTCACTATTTTCTCAAAAATCCAAGTCCCTTAATCTTGTGGCTTCATATCCTATTTATAGTGGGGAATAAAGTTAGGGTTTTGTGTTAAAATTCCTAAGATACCCTCGGTTTGTTCCCTTCACATGAGGGGTGATACATAAGTGGCACTGGTCCCCCTTGATAGCTGGCAGTGGTCCCCCTGGGGGGCTGGCAACTGGGCATATGTGCAGATAAGATCAGCAGACCAAGGTGGCAGATATTCCCTCTTAGGTGTCTGGCAGCTGAAGGCACGTGAAGAAAAGGATATATGGCTCTTAAAAATATCATGTTTCAACTTTTCCGCTTCCAAAATGCCGTCTGATTTGGCATTTAGATTCTGTTCAGCAGTCTGATCATATCACGACAATTCCCTTTTGCTCATCCTTGCTCCCAAATCCTACACATCATCAAACAAAATACCTTCCCCATAATGCAACACCAATTTCATAATAAAATGCCACGAAAAATATATTTCCACCACATGCAACTATATGGTCCCAAATGCATCTATATGATCATATATGAGCTCTTAGACAGTCAATAACTTAAGTGAAAAGACCCTAAATATAGACTTTTTACGGAGTTATCACTGATCTCTATTTTCTAATATATATTATATTTGGCTTCTGATATCTGGTACTATTGGTTACTATTTACTATCTGTATGATCTGATTTATTTTGGGTACTACTGGGGTCTGTTTTTACAGGTTCAGCTCCGATCAGGCTAGTAATTCCTTACGAACCTAAGGCGATCCTTGGGTGGGCTCCTGGGCTCAATAGGCCTAGCGGTAAGACCTTATGAACCCTATGGCACTCCCATAAGGTGAATCATTTGCTTTGTGCTTAGGGTAAGTCCTTATGGACCTGGGGGTACTCTCCTCAAGTGGCTCTTATGCTTCGATTAAGGTAAGTCCTTATGGACCTAAGGTGTTCCCTTATGTTGGCTCCTACATCCAATGAACCTAGGGTAAGTCCTTATGGATGCAGTTATAACTCTCCTAACTCATACCCGACTAGATACGAATCTGAGGTGTCACATTTGACTTTTCAAATCATAATAAATTCACAAATATGAATAAATTTAAAATTTATTATTCCACTCAAGGACCAAGATCGCTTCGATCTTTGAGCTCATACCAGACTTGATAGGGTGCCATCTTGATACTAGACTGATAACTATTGTTGTAAGCGAACTCTTCCAGGCGTAGATACTTCTCCTGCAACCCTTTGAACTCAATTACACATTCTCTCAACATATCTTCTAAGATTTGAATTGTCCTCTCTGATTTCCCGTCAGTCTGAGGGTGAAAGGCCGTACTAAAATTTAGGCGAGTCCCCAACGCTCCATGCAAGGATTTCCAGAATCTCGAAGTGAATCGAGTGTCCCGGTCAGAGACTAT